CATACGCACCCAGTCCAGGGATGGAACCCGAAACCCAGGCAGGTGCCCTGACAGGGAATTGAACCAGTAACCTTTCAGTACACAGGACAACCACCAACTGAGCCACACCGGCCAGGGCTGAGATTAGAGTATTTTAATCCCCGGCTCTCTTGCTGAGGGCCCTGCACCAGCCACGTTCCTCAACTGGTATGCAGCCCCTCTTCTCCCATTCCCTCTCAGGCCATCACCAGCCCCTGGACACTGCTCTACCCACTCTGTTACCCTACAGGCTGTCAGCGCCTATGTATGTATTTTATTTATTAAACTCCTAAGTGACCCTAATTGGAGTGTGCCTTATGCTTTGTGCTGGGGCCATAACTGATGCAAACAAATTGGTTAGCAAAGATAAAGGTTAGCAAAGATAAAGGGCCAAAGTAGCCCAGTTGAAGCATGACCGTCTAAATTTCCAGCCCGAACCTTCCCTCAGGAAACCTGCCCTTCTGCCTCTGTGAGTGCTACCCCATCGCAGGATGGTTTTACTCTTTGGGATTCAAAGTCCTGGGCCTCTGCATGTCAGGCTGGTAGTGCCCCAAGATTGCTTTGGCATGTATTTTGCAAAGTAACAGACTTGGGTCCAGCAGTGGAGAGATCTGAAAGCCACAGGGTATGGAATGCGAATCATCGATCCTCCCAGTGTGTCTCTAACATGGCCCTATTACTTCCCAATTCACATCTGGCACATGCATTTTACAAAAAAGGAAAGGATTGATGAATGTTGCTATGGAATGTTGGTGTCCCCTCAACATTCACATGTTGAAGCCCCAATCCTCCAATGTGATGGTATTTGAAGATGGGCCTTTGGAAAATAATTAGGGTTAAATGGGGTCATAAGGGTGGGGCCCTCAGGATGGCATTAGTGCCCTTGTAAGAAGAGATACCAGCAAGCTTGCTACTCCCCACCTGGGTTCACACACAAACAGGTCATGTGAACAAACAGCATGATGGCAGCTGCCTACAAGCCAAGATCAAGTGCCTTCTATGAAAACCACTGTGTGGGCTTGGACTTGAATTGGACTTTCCAGCCTTCTGAATTGTAAGAAATTAAATGTGTTGGTTAAGCCCATCAGACTATGGTATTTCGTGATGGTAGCCTGAGCCAAGATAAACACGCAGATGCTTTACCCAACCTGCCATCTATGTGATCCTATAAAAATGACCCAGTTCGTGGTCACTTTTTTTTTTTTTTTTTTTTTTTGAAATTCCTGTTTTGGCAACTGCTCCTCACAGCCCACTTTAATATTTTAACAAAGGCAATGGGGGCTTTTTGGCTGAAATTCAAGCTGTGAAGGCCACTGTGTCTTTTCAGACGGGTTGAACTCAGCGATGAGCAGATTTTTGCAATTATTTTGCCAGTGTAAAGATCCCTTTGGCTATGCACGCTGAGAGGGCTGGGCCTTCGGTCCCCTTCCTAAATGGAAGCAGGAAGCGCTCACAGAACGATGCCAGGCGCCGGCGGCTGTACAATCTCCTTTTTATTCTGTGTGCTTTTTTATAGGATATAAATAATGACAAAAATTACAAAATTTATAACTGGAAGCCCAAGCATATGTACATGTATGTTTCTGTTTCGGCAAAGCTACTAATCACTTTGCTCCTATACAGTTTTCCTTTTGGTACCATAGATATGTTATTTTTACTTTCCATTTTCTACATACATATCGACAGTGATTAGGCAAAATATGTACAAGGAACTGTTCAGTTCAAGTAATTTAATATTGTATTAAAATTCTTCCACACTGAACTGAAACCATATACATTTGTCAGTTTGAAATAAAATGTAGTTATCTTCCAAAAACTCACCAACTGATGAATGGAACTGATATCCTCAGGTTTAAAATCATATTGGTTAATTAAAAAAAAAAAAGCAACATTAAGACAGTCCCACAATTTATCAATATCTCTATAATGAACTTTAAAATGATTCACAATATGATCAGTTAGAACAATATACATTAAAACGTTATTTTTTTTTCTATAATGATATTGGTACTGTATATAATTTGATTCTACATAAATATACATTATGGTATTTATCATACAAATACTCCACAGAGACATTAAAAAAAGTAAAATAGCTTAATGAAATGTAAGTAAATTTCATTTAATCAAATAGTAAGCAAACATTATTATTTTTTTTTCTGTTTCAAGAAAAGAGTTTATTACTTTGGAATCTCTTCTTTTTTTTTTTGTATTTATTTTTTCTAGAAAACAAATTTTTGCAATAGAATTTTATTAACACCTTTCTCAAACAAGTTTCCCATGACAGAAATCTTGACAGCAGGAGCCCTAGATTTTTTTTTTTTTTTAACATGTTCTTTAAAACACTGTGAAGATTCAGAAAAACAATCTCTGCAGGCTTATGGCTGCGTCAGCACTTTGCGGGGGTCTCCCGTCTGCTTGCCCGAATCTCCTGCCCTGGGGAGGGTCGCCCAGGGCCTTCCCACGCTCAGCCTGCCCACTTGGGCGTCAGCAGTAGAAATTTAGTTACTTGAAATGAAGTCAGAAACATCCCTCACAGCGAACTCGTTTGCTTATCAGTGCATGAACGAAACATTTTTTTTTTATTATAGTAAAAATATTGAATACAAGACACATTTCCCTGTGCATCATAAATTTCTCTGCTTTAAATCATTCGTAAATTTTGAATCAGTCTGTAGATGTGAAGGTTTTCTTTAGCCGACACAGTTGATGACATAAAAAAACCCACAAATATAGAAATTGGGAGGGAGGGTGTCCTGGCCACTATGGAGGGTGGTTTTTGTTGCATGAAAGGATGCTCAGTGATAGAACTCTACAGATGCTCGGTGGGGGCTGTTCTGTTCTGATTCTACCTTTAAAACTGCGGACAGGGAAAAAACCCAAGATGTTTATACTTTTAGGCAGTATTAGAGATCCCCTGCACTTTTTTTTTTTTTTTTTTTTAAAGATGCTTATTCGCCCAACAAGCCAAGCAAGTGTGGGGGCCAAGTCATTAGAAATACCTCGGGTGGTGACCGGGGAGGGGAGTCGGGAGCCCGCAAAAAAATCTCAGCTCGTGCCTCTCAGGGTTTCGGCTGCGCTTTCTGTCCCTGGTGCGGGAAGAACGTCCCCAGGAATGGCCGGCGGCCTTTCGCCTGTGACAAGGCCGCACAAGCCGAGCAGTCTTCCTCCCGGGCTGGGTGGGGACGGAGGCAGGAAGGGAAGCCTGCTCTGGGCTGCTCGGTGTGCAAGGCACCGTGAGGGCGGGAGCACGGTGGGCATCAGAAGATCGTGGTCTCATACTTGGTATTAATGCCCCGCTTGGCTTCTTGTCCCGGCTCCACGATCCACGGCAGGTTGGCCAGAGTCTTTTGCTCAGAGGGGTCGATCTGCTTTGAGAGAGAGAGGCTGATGCCTGTTATGCGGTACCTGCACGGCGTGCGGGCACGCAATCTACCGCTACTCAGAGGCCAGCACCGCCCTCTCCCAACCCCCCCTCCAGGACTTCAGGGCTGCTCTCTGAGAGCATCATTTATTTGCTCTTTCGACCACATTTACTGCATATGGACCGAGCGCAAGGCACTGGAGAAGGGACGGGGAGTGAGGTGCGGGGCCTTGTTCCTGAAGGCACAGGGTTGGGGCGCAGACAGGGCAGCCCTCAGCGAGGGGTGAGGTGGGAAGGGTGCTCTGTGGGCCCGCAGGAAAGCCATGGGCCCTATGTTGGGGAGCCAGGGGGGCTCCCAGGAGGCGGTGATGCCACTCCCTGATTCTCAAGCCTCCGATGGTTTCCATCCCAAGTCCTCAAGGTGACCTGCAGGCGGCCCGGCCTGCAGTCGGCCCAGCCTGCTTGGCTCCAGCCACACAGGCCCCCATGCTGCTCCCTCAGCACTGAGCCCTGGCCAGGGGCCTCCGCTGCTCTGGCTGTCCTGTCTGCTCTGAGGGATGCTCTCCAGACCCCTGCCTGCTTCATGTCCTAACGTCATTCAGGTGGCGGCTCGAACAGCCCCTCCTCACCGTGGGCCCGTCCCAAACGGTGCCCCAGCTTGCTGGCTCTCCTCTTACTGTTCTGTGTAATCCTTCGCCACACACATCCCATCGCATCTGCTTATTTGTCATGAAGACGGGGTTTTGCCTGTTCTGTTCACTACTTAGAAACGCTCCCGGCAGCCCAGTTCACAGAAGGCACATCATACGTACTTGCTGAACAGGAGCACGAAAAGAATGAGATGATGTGTAAAAGGGGAGCCGAAGGAAAGCTCTGAGTAGGTCTGGACAAGGCCGGGGAGAGGGAACAGCACGGGCACAGCCCCCGAGGGAAGGGGATGTGGCCCGTGTGGGGTTTCTAGGAGGCCATACGGAGCAGAAGCCAGTTGGAACATTCCAGCTCCTGGGTGTTGCTGCTACGAGACAGATGCTATGAAGGCCTGCAGGTCTGACAGACGGGGTGTCTGCAGAGCTCCTGGGAGGCGGGGGTGGGGGGGGTGGGGGGGTGGGGGAGATTCCTGGAGGAAGGCAGAGGACGAGGGGGAGGAAACCAGGGGCCAGCCATCTAGATTTCCCAAAACCCCAAACTCAAGAGTCAGTGTAGCTCTGCTCTGAGTGCCCACAACCCGTGCATCCAGCTTCCTCTGGGTAGAGTCACCTTCACTGTGAACCTCTGCCAGCCTCCCTCCAGGCCAGGGGCTCTCGGAGGCTTTCCCGGGTGGGAGGGCTCCTGGAGGCTCAGGGAACACTGTTCCCATGCTGGGACCTCCGGGAAAGATTCTCTAGGACAGCGGAGGGCCCGGCCCCTCCTGGCGGCCCGAGGAGACAGAGGGGGTGGCGTTTTCTTGGGAGCCCGCAGGTTCAGGCAGATGGCCCCCGCTGCTTTCCAGGACCTGGGCTGAGAGGATGGCAGCCACGTGCGGGGAGGAGGCCCTGAGTCTAACCCACACCCCTCCCCAGGGGGCAGCCCCGCGCCCTCTGGTCCAGGCTTTCCCAGCATCCGCATCTTCTCTACTTACCACGGACTTGCGGATGCTGACGCGGGGCTTGGGAATGGGCTTGGAGGGCTTGTTCTCAAAGCTTTCTGGGAGCGTGGAGGAATGGCCCCCTTTCCTGGCCTGCAGTGCGAGCTGGTAAGCCACTTCAAACGCCTGTCCCAGCGTCAGGATGATCTCGTAGGCTAAATTCTGCAAGAGAAACCGGAACGTGTTTATGATGGTGCACCGCAGACTGGACAAGTCCAGTGGCTGAGGGGCCTGTGGGGGGGAACCAGCGGGGCCCTTGCACTGCTCCAGCGGCTGTGGCAGTGAGGATGCACATGTGTGGACAAGGGGACACTCCGGGTCCAGCTTAGGGTCTACACCAGGATTGAGTCCCTGATGCCATGCATTTGTTTTTTTTTTAAAATTAAATATATTTTATTGATTTTCCACAGCGAGGAAGGGAGAGGGATAGAGAGCTAGAAACATCGATGAGAGAGAAACATCGACCAGCTGCCTCCTGCACACCCCTACTGGGGACGTGCCCACAACCAAGGTATACGCCCTTGACCGGAATCGAACCTGGGACCTTTCAGTCCACAGACGGACGCTCTATCCACTGAGCCAAACCGGTTTTGGCTAGGCACTTGCTTACAGCCGAGCTAAGGAGCCTACTTCCCACTGCTCCCCGCCCCACCCCTGGGCCCTGAGCCCACTCCATTCGGAGCCCCGTGGGCCGCTGGCGGGCTCCCAGGCCAGGGAAGGGAAGGGGCTCCTCTGGCCTGATGCTGAGAGTGCCCAGCCGTGCCCCTGACAGCCCCACACGCTCCACGGGAGGTGCTCCTCAGAAGTTTGGGTCTCTTTTACCTCCAACATCTGCGATTCAGCGAACATCTCGGAAACACAATCAGAATCTAATTTAGGCGGAGGGAGAGGCGTTAGTCATGCCGGCGGGCGGCTCGCAGTCCCAGCAGCCGGTGTGCCAGCAGAGCCAATTATCCATCTACTTCTCGAGGCATTTGCTTTCCCCGGGGGAGAGGGGTCCACTCCATATTTTATCATCAAATCGGCAAGAGACAGGAGATTCTGTTAGGCCCCAGCTCCACGCCAAGCCTGGCGGGGAGGAAGGCTCATTCCTTCCGACCTTCAATCACTCCCTCCAGGCAACTTCCAGTTCCCCTTCCTCTTTGATTTCTGCCTTCCCTTCTGAGAACAGCTCCTCCCCGCCTTCTCTCCCTGATAAAGTGGGACAGGGGGCCCCAAAGAGGCAGGGTCTGGACAACCCCCCACCTGAGGTCATGGCCCATTCAACGTAGGTGTCCCCTGGCCACAGAGCGCAGTCTGTCTGTCCCAGGTTTTCCTCCTGGTGAATGTCCCTGGACATCTGTCCATGGTTTTCTCTTTCTTTCTTCTTTCTTTCTTTCTTTCTTTCTTTCTTTCTTTCTTTCTTTCTTTCTTTCTTTCTTTCTTTCTTTCTTTCTTTCTTTCTTTTTTAAAAAAATATATTTTATTGATTTTCCACAGAGAGGAAGGGAGAGGGACAGAGAACTAGAAACGTCGATGAGAGAGAAACATCAACCAGCTGCCTCCTGCACACCCCTACTGGAGATGTGCCCACAGCCAATGTACATGCCCTTGACCGGAATCGAACTACGGACCTTTTCAGTCTGCAGACCAGCGCTCTATCCACTGAGCCAAACCGGTTTCGGCTGTCCATGGTTTTTCAAAAGCACAGAAAGAGCGTTCTGCTTATGCGATTTCCTCCCCCTCCTTCCCATTTCCCCCCAGTTGAGCGCACAGAATAACTGAGTTCCCATGAGTCTCAGGACTGTTTGGTGCTGATCCCACTTGATGAAGACGTAGTGGGCAATGCCGGATGGCTTTCTGAAGCCACATGGAAGGGCTGTGGGTTTCTGGATCGACCAGATTTCCGATCGATGCCAGACTGGCTTGGTCTTAGACCCGAACTTTGAGCGTGAGAGTTCATTTGACAGAGAACATCTTCTCCTTGGAGCTACCCGTTGGGAAATGTTGGCCCCACGTGACAGGGGTGGGCTTCCTGGAGACAGTGAACCTCACCCAGCCAGCCAGGCACTTCCTGCAATGCACACCCAGCCCGCCTGCCTCCCAGGATGAGTCAGGCTGGGAAATGAGTAAGGTGCCCACAAATGATCGTGGAGGAGGGCCGAGCCCTCCCCCTGCCCACACGCCGGGGCTCTGAAAGGTGGCCTGTGGCTGCTGGCTTCTGTAGTCTCTGCAGGAAGTCTGGGCCGTCTACCGTGGGGAGGGTTGAGGTCCAGCTGGCAGGGGTACGGAGCAGACGTGTGTGCTCTGGGTCAGCAGCTGAGGGGAAGCCCGTGATTCAGGGATTGTACACCGTCAGCTTTCGGATGCTGGAATGGAGGGCTGAGTGAGTGTGAACTCCTCTGTCACCAACGGAAACACAAGTTCCTCCAAGCGGGCGTGCCTTAGAGCTCCGGCGTCTTCACACCAAAGTCCAAGATGCTCCTCTGAGCAAGTGCGATTTCTCACAGGCCTATTACGGGACGCGTAAAGGTTGTGGACAGTGCTGGGTCAGAAGCTCTGCCCCTCCGTGTTTAATTAGTTTCCTGGTGTTAGAAAGCTGCTCAAATAAAGACACAGCGACCAGGCTGACTGTGGGGTGGAGGGTGCCTGCCAAATGGCCTCTCCTGGTTTGGCCTGCGTTGTCCCTGGCGTCTTGCTTTCTGCTCTGTTTTAGAATGCGTTGCAGAGTTCTTCCTTGATGATTATGTGCCAGTACAGGACATTGTTCCCTTTCTTGTACTTCCTCATCTCCCTGTGTGAGGTAAGGATTCCGGAGGGCAGGGAGGGCCCAGGGGTGCGCGGTGCAAGGAGCGGCGGGCGGCAGGCTGGGTGCTGTGCCACCGACCCGCCAGGGCCCTGAGCAGACACACGCTGGTCAGATGGGACCTGGGACACACTTCGACCCGGGGAGGTAGGCTCATTTCTCCTGGTTCTCCTTAGTAACAGCCCCACCCCTTAAAGAGGGAAGAGAGCAGGAGACTCTCCTGGGAGAAGGCCAAAGATAATGTTGAAATATCTGAGAGGCGTAGGTGACAAGCCCACCAATGCCTGCTGGCATTGACCAGCCCACTGAAAATGCTTTAAAAAAATTTTTTTTTTTTTATTGATTTTTTACAGAGAGGAAGGGAGAGGGATAGAGAGCCAGAAACATCGATGAGAGAGAAACATTGACCAGCTGCCTCCTGCACACTCCCCAACTGGGGATGTGCCCACAACCAATGTACATGCCCTTGACTGAAATCGAACCTGGGACCTTTCAGTGGGAAGATCGAGGCTCTATCCACTGAGCCAAACTGGTTTTGGTGGCAACGCTTTCTAACACCAGGAACTAATTAAAAACCTGAAAGCCCAAATGGTCTCTGCTTGCAAACGTGCTGTCCTTGCCCCTGTGGGGAGATCAGAGCCTGAGACTGTGCCTGGCACGCTGCAGGCACCTCACAGCTGCTTGCAGGATGAAGGAATAGCAGAATGACGGACCAGAGGAATAACACTACTAAGATGTTACTATATGCAGTGTACCTACTATGCAGGGAGAACTCGGTGTTAGGTGCCGTGCAGAGCACTACAAGGATCTCATTTAAGTCTTACCATAAGCATCTGTGGTAGAATATCCTTATCCTTATTTTATAGATAAAAAATTGAAGCTCAGCCGAAGCCGGTTTGGCTCAGTGGTAGAGCGTCGGTCTGCGGACTGAAAGGTCCCAGGTTCGATTCCGGTCAAGGGCATGTACCTTGGTTGCGGGCACATCCCCGGTAGGGGGTGTGCAAGAGGCAGCTGGTCGATGTTTCTCTCTCATCGACGTTTCTAGCTCTCTATCTCTCTCCCTTTCTCTCTGTTAAAAATCAATAAAATATAATAAAAAAAAAATTGAAGCTCAGAGAGGTTAAGTAACTTGCCTGACATCACACAGCTAGAAGACTACCGAGCTGTTTGTGAACCGATGTTTGTGACTCAGGGCCCGTGTTCTCAGCCCTCCCTGTGTGGCCACTGGTCTCCAGGCTGGCTGACACATTCCCCACGGGGAGGGCGCAGCTGCTCCTCCACCTCCTAGAATCTGAATGGGCTTCGCTGACTCCCACCTAGCAGAGTGCAGCAGGAATGGCGCGCTGGGCCTTTAAGATTAGCTTGTAGGGAGTCTGGCAGCTTCCACCTGCGTCTCTGGGAACACTGGCTCCGAGGGCAATCAGCCGCAGGTAAGAGATCTGAACGCCTGAGATTGCAACGCTGGGAGGATGTCCGAGCTGGGAGGCTGCCTGGGGGGCAACAGCAGCCATCCTGGCCCAGGCTCAGCACACCAGGGAGGAGTCACCCTGGACACTGAGCTGCAGGAGACTCACGTGGGGAGGACCTCAGGCTCAGACAGATGTCCCCTGTCGAGCTTCCCCAGCACCTGCCACCACCTGAGACACCCCAGCAGAGGCCCCTGGTATTGTCGGGCAGAGCAGAGCAGAACTGCCGTGTTCTGCCCAGATTCCTGACTCACGGAATTGTAAACACAATAAAACGGGTGTTGTAGCCCGGCTCATTGGCTAAGCATCGAGCGATGTATGAATCAGGAGATCACGGTTCCATTGCTGGCCAGGACACATGCCTGAGTGGTGGGCTTGATCCCCAGTAGGGGATGTGCAAGGGGCAGCTGGTCAAGGATCCTCTCTCATCATTGATATTTCTCTCCCCCGCCCCTTCTTGCTCTCTGAAATCCATACAAATATATATTTTCTGAAAGGGTGTTGTTTTATGCCGTCAATTTTTGAGGTGCTGTGCAAGCACCCACAGGTCACTGGAGCACATGCAGTCCTGAAGAAGGCTGGTGGGACCCTTGTCCAGGCAGCGGGAGGAGGCGCCTCAGTCTCAGAGCTGGGGTGAACTATGTGCGGCCACAGGAGGCCAATCCTGAGTCTTAGCTCCAGCCCTGGCTGCAGGGAAGTGGCTGACGCCTCCAGCCCTCCTGGTCACAGGGCCCAGCAAACATTAAGGGGTCCCTTCCCACAGGCGACAAGCCACAGAGCCGGAGCAGGGCCTTTTAGGTGGTACAGTGGCCCTCTCATGTCTCATTACTACCTCGCTCCCTTGGGTATAAATGCGAACTCACTAACCTCCTCTCCCTCAAATGCTCAGACTCGGCGGTCTCTGGCCTCGG